CAAACCCTGCCACTAGAGTCTGGGGGTTAGTTGACCATGCTGTTCATAGCAGGGATTGACATCGGCCGTTGCTTTTTTCCTCAGTCGTGCTTGTAAATTTCATGTCAGAGTGTAGACTAAATACTCTTAAGTTTTGATGTGAAGACTTGAGGAGCTAGTCTACATGCGTGACAAGATAAAAAAAAGAAATACAGATGCTGATGCCCCACCTCGCGCTCAGGAAAAGCCAGAGTCAACAAACCAGCGCACTGATCTCGTTCCTCATTCAGACCAGCTGGATACCTAGAAGCTGGCTCTCAATAAGAAGACTCTTTCTCCCTCTCCCTTTGCCTTCAGAAATTGTGACTTTACACCGGCTCGGCTCTTCACTCTACAGCCAAAGTTCCTCTTCCCCTCCCGAGTCCGGGGTCCAACCACCGGCTAAATTGTCGCACCACCTTATCTTATAACTAGGACTCACGGTTTGGCTGCTGAGATCCTAGCAATCCTCTCCTTCTTTTACACTTGTCTAGCTTGAGTTTACCTTTTCTATCAACAAACCCTGCTCCGTTCACCAACTCTTCGGAACCCTTTTCCCCACGGGGTTCGGCCGGCCGCCTTTGTGAAAGTCCCCCCGCGCACAGGCCGTCCCGGCCAGATCTTTGTCACCTCCGACCTCCGTTCCGCCTCCCAACCCTTGTCATGGCTCACCTCAACCGACCATCTCCCTCACAGTGAGACCTTGTCGCCTGATCGTTTCCAAGGCTCGGGTCCTATGTCCGCAGTCTGATGGTCACACTCGGCACAGACGAGGTTACCGCGGGTCCACTACAGGGTATTGGATAAGCTCGACGACGCAAGATCAGGAACAAACCGCCAATACTGCGAGGACAAATTGTGCGCGTACTCCACGATTTGTCCGCATCTGTCACACGATATGACCTTCGCTGTTGGTACAGTCACCAGGTTGGAGCAGGAACTCGACTACAAGCGAAAAGAACCGGGCGATAAGGAAGCGGCCATGGAGACCGACGCCCTGCGAGCAGACGGTGCGTCGCGCAAACGCAAGAGGGCCCGGAAAGTGAACTCGGATCGGAAGTTTGAATGTACACATGAGGGCTGCGGCAAGAGCTATTCGCGTGCCGAGCATCTCTACCGCCACCAACTGAATCGTATGTTGGACGTTCTTCCAACCGCAAGCCCGTTTCGGTGGATGCGGATGACTGATCTATGACTTGCTCTAGACACTCCCAAGCAAATTTATCGATGCGACTTTCCGGACTGCTACCGGACCTTTGTACGACAAGATCTCTGCGTTCGGCACCGTGAACGGCACACGACACAAGGCTCTCAGCTTCAGAAACGGGACCATTTCGCGCAAGCGGCTTCGCAGAATAAGCAACAAGGCCAGTTTCCTGACAATGTGGCCGGTAATAGTGTTCCGCAGATGGGCAACACCCAGCAGCCGCCAATCTTGCCTGCGACTACCGTTGATTTGACGTCGGCACGCTCCGCAACCACCTTCCCTGAAGGCGGAGTGGAGACTCTGACACCTCAGTCGGTCAATGGCTCCAGCAAGCATATGTCAGTCTCATCGTCGGCGTCGATGTCGCTCGGCAGATCCCTCAACTACCAACCGTTGGCCGCTCAGCATGGTGTGGGGACACCAGACTCGACTGCATCAAGGTCTAACAGCTTGAGCAACCATAGCATTAATTCTCCTCCTGGCCAAGCAAATGCTCCCTTCAGCCCTTCAGACGTGCAAAAGTCAGCGTATGTGCCGCTCACCGGCCGCCACTCCATACATCTTTCGGGCAGCCCTAGTGATCGGACATGTCAACTAACCGGACTGCATCCCGTTTCTAGGACAAGACCTCAAGACGCTGCAGCATACTCCATGTCAACCGACGTCAACGGCTCTTCAGTAGTTCAGTCGTTGCCGTATGGTTCTCCTACAGGCCTGCAAATGCCTGTCGGTGGATTTGCCGACATTTCGATGAATACCGTGCCGCCCTCCACCCAGGCGTCGGTAGATAGAACAAGCAGCATTACTGGACTAGATGCCCTATCGGGGATGATTGCTTCGGCAGATCCCGCATTCGACCCGATGGCCTCTTGCGTCTATCCGATTTTTGGCGGCGAAACATACAACAACCGGTCCCCCTTTGCGATGGCTGATGACTTCACCGCGTGGCTATTCAATGAACCTGTTCCGGGATCGTCGTCCCTGGCCTATCCTCCTACGTCTTCGATGATGCCGAACTATCTGGATCCAACACAGCTGCAGAATCAGTTCCTCATCAGCGAGCCAGCGTTCGGCAGTTTCCTGAACAGCGTTCTTCCGCAACATCCAATGAGCGTTACCAGTATCTTAGATCCAGGTTCACCCCAGGCGATCATGTCGGAGGAGAAGCGACAGGAGTTGCTCCATCTCATGGCCACTCGATTCAACGAAGCCGCCTATTCAGCGGTGGCAAAACGCAAGGATGCTCTGATGGATGGAGACGTTGACGATGACAGCCATGTTCTGAGCTTGCGCATGATGCAGACATACATCGGTTCCTACTGGTACCACTTTCACTCGCAGCTCCCCATTCTGCACCAACCTACTTTTGTCGCGGATAAGGCGCCAAATCTACTTCTCTTGGCTGTCATGGCGATTGGAGCAGCCACCCTAGATAACATCCATGGACAAGAGGTGACTGAGACAGCTGCGGAATTGGCCAACTTCATAGGGTGGCATCTGCGATGGGAGATTTTCATGGACGCTGATTTCCGACCGCCCGCCAAGCTCTGGGTCTTCCAGGCTTTACTCCTGCTGGAGGTCTTTGAAAAGATGTATTCGACTCGCGCATTGCACGAGCGCGCGCATATTCATCACGACACTACCCTGACGCTGATGCGTCGTGGCAGCTCGTTGATCGGCCGCTCCGCCCTCGACTCACCCGCAAGCTTCAGGGATGACCGGCAGACGCGGTCCACAACAGGCTCTGCTTCGAATTCAGAATTCGCTGCTGACGATTCCTGGACACACTGGATCAAGGCGGAGGCCACCAGACGGGTTGCATTTGCGGCCTTTGTCCTGGACTCAACTCACGCCACTATGTTCGGGCATTCGGCGAAGATGGTGGCCCATGAGCTCCGGCTCCCGCTGCCCTGCGACGAAGCCTTGTGGTCCGCCACCAGTGCCGCCGAAGTTGCACGCGTTCAATCCAGCCTGCATGCAAACGGTGTGAAGCCCACCATGTTTCTCGACGGGCTCAAAAAGACGCTCAACGGACAGCGCGTTACCACGAATGCGTTCGGGCGCACTATCCTGATGGCTGGCCTGCTTAGTGTCAGCTGGCATATGAATCAGCGCGACCTCCAAGTCAGCTCGCTGGGCGTCCCACAGGCCCTCGGTGGCCGAGACAAATGGCGATCGGCCCTTTTGCGAGCATTTGATAATTGGCGACGTGATTTCGACGAGGCACTGGCTCAGGCTGGACCTCCTCCGTTCCCGTCTCAATTCCGGCGGCATTCTCTCGAAGACGAGGGCGTTTCCGAGTCCCGAGACGTCCTGCATGGACTGGCTCACATGGCCTCGCACGTCGACATTGTGGATTGTCAGATATTCGCCGGAGCGGGCCGACTTATGGGGCGATCGATCACTCCACGGGACTATAGCGCTGCCCGTGAGAAGATGACCGAGCGATGGGCCACCAAGGCCTCAGCGCGAGACGCGACGTTTTACGCCCTCAAGTTTCTCTCCGAATGTCTTTTGAATAACCGGAGTGTATCCGAAGAAAGCGGAACCTACTCCGGACGCGATGACTACCTGCTCAACCGGCCCTGGGTCATCTATGTTGCAGTGCTGGTTGTCTGGTGCTATGGATATGCGCTCGACGGGCCGATCGCATCGCCTCCGGCGCTGGAAACGGTAGCCGAACAGCGACACGATATGGAAGCCTTTCTCCGCCGGGTGGGCGGGGTGCGTGAGCCCAACGAGTTGGCGACAATGAAAGGTCGCAACCAGTGTCTCGGCTTGTTGATGATTTTGCAGGATGGCTTTGCGAACACCCGGTGGGAGCTGCTCTCGGAAGCGTCCAATCTGTTGCAAAGCTGCATCAATAAGTTGCGGAACGAGACGCGGCGGTCGAGTTGAAGACCTTTGACCTTGAGGCATTGTTCTTATCAACTTATGTTTTGGAGGACGGTCTGCCATGTTATGATTTGATTTATTGTTTGCATGATGTGATACCACGGGTTGGCGATTGTTTTTGTATACGGTTGATAGGGATATCTAGTACGGAGTACATATGAACTTTTCTCTACATGTATTCGACGTAACTCTTAACCAGTACATTCCGATTCCAGGCCTGCATGCATTTAGTGCCAGAAATAAGCTATGCCATCTCATCTGGATCGCTGGGGTCAATCATCCACCCTTGCTGGTTACCACAACAACGACCCGCATAAACACCGCCAAACCCACACCAGGCCAACTTCGAACCTTCACTCCTCCTCTTATGATAATCTTCTCCATCCATTATCTACGGTCATCTTCTACGTGTTCGTAAGGGTCTATCATTGTTTACCATCTTGACAATACATTTGATTGCAGCCATTGACTCTACTTTTCTTTGTTGCAGCATACCGAATCAACCCCTGAACCGACAACGTCAACCATGGTACGTCTGGAATCCTCCTCCACATCAGCACAGAACGAACATACGGAGGAATGTTGCATGTGGATAGCCTCACGAGGAGATCGGAAGTGAGACTGAAACTGCATGCAAATCTCCTGTTGCTGCTTTCTCCCTTGCGTCGCGTCGTCTTCTGTTGAATGTTTTCCCGTTGCGTTGTTGCCATTCTCGGATCGCCGCCGTCTCCCCTCATCTTCACGCCTGTACCAACCAGTCAGTGGTTCTGGTTCCCGTTCTGGTTCCGAACAACTGAATTTCCCTCCATCATTTCCTTCTTCATCCCCAACTCCTCACCCATCATCGCTGTCTATCTACTGGAAAAAATACTGGTTTAAAATGCCTCGCTCACCTGATTCTCACAACGACCAGGCTTCAACCAACTACAAGGAAGCGTTCTCGCTTTTCGACAAGCGCGGCACGGGAAAGGTATCGCTCGAGTCGCTTGGTGACCTGCTGCGCGCATGCGGCCAGAACCCTACCCTCGCGGAGATTGCGGATCTGGAGAAGAGTATCGGCGGCGACTGTAAGCTCAAGCTCTTTGTGACCCTGTTTCTGGCTTTGTGGTCTGGCAAGCTGACAAATACCGCTAGTTGATTTCGAATCGTTCCTGAAGGTACTGAACCGTCCAGGTGGATTCCGGGAGCCCGGCGAGCCCGAGGAATACTGTCGGGGATTCCAGGTGTTTGATAAGGATATGACTGGGTTTATTGGTGTGGGGCAGTTGCGTTACAGTATGTTGCTCTGCGTTGCACGTTCAGGTCTGGCTGTGGGATAGTGGTGCTGACCGATGCAGTTCTCACGAATCTGGGCGAGAAGATGTCGGACGAGGAGGTCGATGAGCTGCTGAAGGCCGTTGATACCAGCTCTGGCGAGATCAACTACACCGGTATATTTCCTGGTCTGTTGCCCTATGCTAATGGCGGACGCTAACTTGATATTGTAGAACTCGTCCGCACGATCCTGGCCAACTGAACGATTACGATACCCCCCTTGACGCTTCCACGATGGTTTTACGATGTGCGCTGCGCGTCCGTCCACGCAGTCGGTGACTTGACTTGTCGGCTCGGTTTTTAGCAATTAGTTTATATTCAGATAATATGAATTTTGTACTGTATCTTTCGTTCTGTAGACAAAGATGGACGCCCCGTAGGATCCCTATTGAGCAATCCACTCGCTCCACTCCCGATCCATCGCCCGCAGCTTCTCCTCATCGCCCATGATCTCCGTCTCCATCAACGCCCCTGGCAGTAGATATACAACCCGCGGCTCCTGATCCGGCCCCTCCCCTTCAACTACATCCTCGCCCTTCCCATTTGCAACAGGAAAATGCACCGCATCGAGGAAATACCCCACCACGACCCGACACCGCCCACACCGCAGAAACCGCCTCTTCTCGAACCCGTCTTCTCGACGGACCAGCGTTGCCTTGCGATCTGGTAGAGTTGTGGCTAGGAGGATGGTGTAGTGTTTCTGCTTCTGTTTCTGCTTGCGCCTTGTCCTCTCCTCCTGTCCTTCGCCTTCGCTTTCGCCTTCGCCTTCTGATTTTTCGGCTCGCTGGGTTTCGGTTTCGGGGGATGTGGTTGCGTCTGCGTCTGCGTCTGTATCTGCGTCTAGCTCGTCGTCGTCGTCGTCGTCAGCGCGCGGAAGAGGGAGAATCAGCGCGTTATCCTGCGCGGGGGCTTTTCGGCGGGGAAGCGTCGCGATTGTGCGCGTTGTGGCTAGGAGGAGGTGGTTGCAGAAGCGGCAGTGGTGGGTGTGGACTTTTAGGCGCTGCTGCTGCTGCTGCTCCTGCTGTTGTTCCTGTTCCTGTTGTTTGTGTTGGCCGTCTTGTTGTGGAGGCGAGGTGGAGCGGGATGGGGACGCGGAGGGGTTTGTAGTGGACATTTTTATTTTCTTTGGCAGGTGTGAGTGTAGGTGTGAGTCTTGTGGGTGGCTATCTTGGAGTTGAGAGAATTGAAGTACTGGGGAGAATTTAAGTGAAGTGGTGATGGAGCGAGTTGGGGTGGTGGTGTCTTATCGATAAGAGAGATAGCTAGCTACGCATCACTCTACGCCGGGACCGAGTTACAAATGGTAAATACAGGTATGAAGCCTAGCGAATTCTTTGATTCTGTTAAGCTTCTAATCTACTGTAGTAGATGAACTAAGCCAGGCCCAATTCCTTGTAAAAGGCGTCCGTCTTGGGCTCGCGGCCAAGGAAGTCGGTCAACGTCTTCATCTCGTCCTGGCTGCCGCCCTTCTCGAGGACGCCGTAGCGGTATCTGCGACCGGCGGCTGGGTTCATCGGGTCGTCCTTGAAGATGGCGTAGAACATGTCGGTCGAGTAGACTTGGGAGCTGCAGGCGATTAGATGATTGCGAGTAGTACTCAAAAGAGGAAGGAAGGTTACCTGAGATATCCGTAGTATCCGGCATCATAACCCCCAATCAAGTGACCAAAGGTTGCTTCGCCGTGGCCCCATTCGTCTCCCATACCTAGGACCTCCGGGCCGTCCTGTAGCGCGATCTGCTTACGCAGCTGGTTGTATGTGGCGGAGATGGGCAGCTTCTGGATCTGCTCGTGGCTCTCGGCTTCGTGCACCATCATGTCGAAGATGCCAAAGTGCAGCTGGCGGAGGTTGAACAGCGCGTCGTTCACATGCTTGGTCCGGATCAGGTTCTCGATGACTTCGTCGGGAATGCGCTCGGGCGGCTGGGACTTGCCGTTGGCCTGTTCTTGCCATGCGGCAAGATATTCAGGCGACAGGGTCGAGTAGTGCTTGCTCAGGGACTTTAGCTGGGACGGTGTCCAGCACCAGTTCTCCAGCATCTGACTGGGGGCTTCCACAAAGTCCCGGACGGTGCTGGTTCCGTGGAAGCGCGAATAGATCGTCTTGGAGACGAGGTCGTGGATCCCGTGTCCGAGCTCATGGAACAGGGTCACGACCTCGTCGTGCTTGAGGAGACTAGGTTTTTTGGCCGTGGGCTTGGTGAAGTTGCACACCAATGCAGTGGCGGGGTAGCGCCGCTTGCCGTCAGCGTCGATGAAGCCCTGCAATTGTTAGTCAAGGGATAATAACCTTATGTCATTCACATACCGGCTGGAGATTGAAGTTGGCCGCGTGGCCGTACTTGCCAGGACGGGGGAACAGGTCCAAGTAGAGGTAGCCCACGAACCCACTTCCCTCGCCCTCGTCATCCCAGACGCTGAAGACCTGGACATCTTCATGCCAGACGATATCGCTTCCCTTGCCGGAGGGTGCAACTTTTTCACGATCCTCGCCGGTAATCTCAACGAAGACAAGGCCAAACAGCTCTTCAAAGATCTTCAGCATGCCCTCGATGGTCGTTTGCAGGGGAAAGTACTCGGCGATCAGTTGCTGATCCAGCGAGTAATCCTTCTCAAGCATGAGGCGGTCGTAGAACCGGTGGTCCCACAGATAGTAGCGGCCATCAAAGGACTCGCCGCGAGACTCGAGATCCGCTTTCTTGAGATCCAACAAAGCCTTGATCTCCTTGTGTCCTCCTGCAGTCAGACGTGAGCGCAAGTCTCCCAGGAAATCGTCAACGGTCTTGGGAGTCTTGGCCATCTTGTCCTCAATGCGGAATGCCGCGTGGTTGGGGTATCCCAGCAAACGAGCAGCCTCGTCCCGCAGAATGATGGCCTCCCGGAACAGAGGCACGTTCTGGTTGCACTTGTTCTCGTTCTCGATCATCAGCCGTTTGCGAGTCTCCACATTCTTCGCATACTTCATGGTCGGGAACAGATCGGGATACTTGAAGGTCAGCCAGAGCTTGCCTTCATGCTCGCCCTCGCCCTTCTTCAAACCTGATAGAACGTCTTCCGGCACGCCGTCGAGCTCCTCGCGTGTGAACCAGATTCCGCCGTTCTCCTCGTTCAAGTGCTTCTGGAATTCAATGCTAATCTGGCTCAGACGCTTCTTGATCTCCTTGAAGCGATCCCGCTTCGGTCCGGCTGGAAGACCCAGCCCGTTGCGGATGTAATCCTTGTGTTCCTTCTCCAGCAATCTCCGGGACTCGGGGTCGAGGCTCTCATTCTTCTTCAGCACAGCATCGACGAGCTTGAATACATCTTCACGCATCACAGTCTCGATGAAGAACTCGTCCATCAATTCCTCTGCCTTGGATGACGCATCCCGGAGCTCCTGCTCCGTCGACACGGCCTGGTAGAAGCTCAAAATGTGGGATTCCAGCGCCATGGTATTCTCATCTTGGGCCAGCGGCTTCAGCACGGAGTTGAAAGTTGCCGATTCGGGTTTGACATTCGCAACGACATCATCCTGCACTTTGCGGGATGTCTCAATGAGGCGCTTGGCGTCGTCGACGATGGACTGAGCAGTCGCGGTAAAGACGGGCGGTGCCTGCGGAGGCCGACGCAGATGTTCGGGAGCCATGCTGGCGGTGGTGAGAGACTTGCGAAGATCGGTCAATGCGGAATTGTAAACGGTGGTAGTGGTAGGTAATCGAGAGCCGCGAAGCTGGCTCAAGACCGATGAGAGTCTGAAAGTGGGGGAGGTGAGGCGGAGAGGGGGAGCCACGGTGACGAGGAGGACGTGCAGATATAGAGCGCGAGAGAAGAGTGGACTAATGGTGACGGTAGAGAGGGGCAAATCGCTAGGACAAGGCGGGGTAGACCTCTAATTTGAGTAGTAGATTATTATTAGTCAAATGGCGTAACGATATACACGATTTCAAGAGACGATAATTAAAGCTTTCTTTCCGATGGAGTGGTCTCTAACTCCGTACTCCTAGCTGACAGTTTCTTACTTGATTGGGTTTAGTATTCCTATTTAGGTGTAGTATCATCATGCTGTATACTCCATATAATCTCCTTTACGCCATAGCAGACTCTACAATGACCTAGTACTACCTTAAAATATCATCTTCTACTCTTTCCCAGCTGCTTAATTATTAACCGGTAAGGTATTTCTACTATTAGCCAATCTACCTCATACTCTGCTTTACTTTGTTACGGGTAGAGTGCTGGGCTGCAATTCTCCACTTGGGCAACAGACCACTGTGGTTTGTCAAATCATGTGATCAATCAAGCTTAGGTAGCCACCATATATAAACCTCTCATGATAATAGTCCACTATGGAGTACTCTGTAGCTCTACCTCTCTCCCCTTTCTTGGGCGCACCCCGGGTCTAGTCTATGCGGCGAGCGTATACTCTCTGTTGTGTATGTCATGTGACCTAATAGGGAGTAACCCACCACATCTTTGATCACTTCTACAGATGCCTTGCCTAGCCCGTAACGAAAGTACGTTTTGGTTACCAAGATAACAGAGAGGTATTACTATATTTACATAGCCTAGGTTACAGAAAATAACCTTCTCATGAGAACAGCAATCGAATGAGATTGTGGGACCGTGGACAGAACAGGCAGCCAATGAAAGGCACGACTTGCTATGTCTTGGCAAGGAATTATGGTAACAAGGTGTTTCTTGGCACGTCTTACATGCAAAGTAAACCCTTGCACTCATTCCTTTTCTCTTCCGAGTACTTCAGTGTAGGATGACGAGCTGGGTATAGGGTCTTTATAACCCAGAGTCTGACATAACCTAGGAAGGACCTAATACTATGTTATCTCAGGCATTTTGTGGTTCAAGGTTAAATTAGGTTGACAGATTCATTTGCTTAATCCGGACATATAGCAGTCATCGCTTGTTACATCAGACAACATAGCTTCCGCTTCCAGACAGTGGGACACTGTCGTTAAAGTTACATACCACTGCGGAGCTAAGGTATAGCACAGGATATCACGTCTTGTGTACCAAGGGGTAGATATGATTAGAGGCCAAGTCTAGAGACGGTGCTTATTGGGGATGTCCAGCCTTGACTGGCTAAACATGTTTAATCATCTAATGACGCATATAACCCTTTTTCCCATCCGCCCCGTGAAGCAGAAATAAAGTCGTCTGTCAAGATCACAGGCGAATATTTCCACATTATCTCGCATAGCCCCGCAGTCTAAGTAATATGGAGGACTACCGCGCGGCTTCGCTCTTCCAACCTTCCAATCTGGCCAAGGCCCTGGCGGACACTATGGACCCGTCGTCCGGGAGACCTACCCATTTAATGGGCACCTTTGTCTCTATTCCGCACACCATCTCAGCTCGCACGCTGGCAGTCCTAGGGTACGACTGTGTTATGATCGACGCACAGCATACGTTAGTCCCCCACTCGTACTGAATGGACCGCATGTTGGTTCAGGGTCTAACTGCTATGGACTGTATCGGTGGTGCAGACCGATCGACGCCGAGAACCTCGTTCGGCTGATCCAAACCGTCAGCCTCTCTAGTAAGGGAAGGACCGTCCCGATCTGTCGGGTGCCGTCTGCACAATCGCATCTCCTGACTTATGCCCTTGACGCGGGTAAGTCTGGTTTCGAACTATCAGTTTTAGACCTTAACCGCTCACGTACCTGGTGTTTGAACAGGAGCTGGCGGCATAATCTTCCCACACATTGATACACCCGAGCAAGCCGCTGAAGCCGTCAGCAAGTGTCGGTATGCTTACTCAAACGGTGACCGGTCCCTGGCTCCAGCAGTGTTAGTCCCTGGAGTTACAGATGGGGCGCCACCAGGGTCCTCCCATGAGCGTGTAGCGGACGATAACATCGCAGTGATCATTCAGATCGAGAGCCCGGTAAGTTCACTTTTCAGATTTACTAGACTTGCGATGAGCTGACGACAGGACGTCTCAGCTTGCCCTTGATAATGCGGACGCCATAGCTGCAGTCCCTGGTGTCAACGCCCTAATGCTAGGAGCTGGCGATCTTCGGGTTGCCATGCGCTGTCCTCCGCGCCAGGTGGGCGACCCTGAAGATCCAAAGATATTGGACGCAATAGAGCGGTTGGTGAATGTGTCGAGACGGCATCAG